ACGCGGGATCGCGGGCGGCGGCCGCGTCCTCTCGGCCGCGACTCGAATCGGTGTCACTTGTCAGTGTTAGAAAGGCGCCCGGTAGCCGCGCCTGCGCTGGGAGCGCGCGTCCAGGGCCGCGAGGAGGGTGGAAACAAGACACGCAAAGCGCCGCAGCGCTCACGGAGATTTATATCGTTACGTGTGGGAACGAAGAAACCTTTGCAGCTATTCTGTTTGGGCACGTGAAATGCAAAATTATTTTTTTTACAATACCAGCTTCTTCATAACGGGCAAAGCAAGGATCGATCACCTATTTTAACTGTTTCTGAAATGATGTCGAAACATTGACTTAGCACGTATACCTTACTTTTTTCTTATATATATAAAAAAACGCATTTACAATCTATCTCGACATTTTGTGTTTTTAACAACTGAGGAGGAAAACGCAGTAGCTATGAAATTCAACGTCCTTGCACCTGGGAATGTAAGGTGGTGAGTTAATTTGGCAGATCCCGACAAGGACAGTAGGGTCATCACAGTAGGTCACCACTGGCTTGGTGGCTTTTGGGAAAGAAAGGGGAAATTTAAAAAAAGGTATGTCTGCGTTTTCAGAGTGCTGTCAAACCAGACGCTGTCCGCTGAAAAATACGGTGGATCGTTTTGCCATCTACTGGAGTTTTGCTGTAAATACAACAGCAATTTAAATTATGGAGCTGAAGGCTATTCATCATAGCTCCTGACTTGTCAGCATTTATGGAAGCGTGTGGCTAAAAGAGGAACAGAATATGTCACCACTCTGCATTTAGGTTTATAATTAGGACAAAACGGAGACCAAGCGAATGTGGCCCGTTTCGTGGAACAAGTTTTAGAGAACCTTAGGCAAGATGGAAGCAATTTCAGCGGGGTAAACTACGGTGGGAAAGGGCACAAGAAGACATAGTATACCGACCAGAAAGCAGCAAGTAGCTTTGCACAGAGGCTATAATTAAAAATAAAAACATACTGCTGACTTAGAAGAATGAAGCTATCACTTTTGTGCTTTTCTTGTCCCAAGGTGGGCAAAGAAAGGAAAGTGGGAGGAGCCCAGATTCCCTCCGATAGCTTAGGGACAGAGATGGAAAAAATCATGAGGGAAAAGGTGACACCATGGACACAAATAAATAGTTTTCGGAGCGTATTTTTTTCAGTCATGGAGTGATCTGGGTATTCGTGAGAGTTTCCATCATTGCTGTCTTTCTGCTCGTACCTTTCTGCGTTCGCTCACAGGTTAGTCTGTCAGCTGAGAGCCAACAGCCCTGACTGCTCTGCTTAAAGACAACCCTGTTTGTAAAGAGCGAACATATTGTTAGTAACACATTAGAGGAAGTTAACAAGGATGGAAGAGGGCTGAGGAAAAAAGAGGGAAAGGTATGCCAAGGAACTAAAAGGGGGGTGGCTGCCACAGACAGAGTCTGTAAGATAGCTTCAGGGATGAGAAATCAATCATAAGAAGAAGCAGCTATACAAGATAGAAAAAATGGGAAGGACCCATGAGGTGGGATGAGAAAGAAAGGTGAGAGAGAAAATGAGGGTAAAGAAACATAAAAATAATATGAAAGAAATCAGAAGTCTAAAGAAAAAGAAAAACAGAAAATGAGACAAAGGAAAGGAGAAATGCAACATGGATGCCCATGAGATCTGATCAGCTAAAAGCCAAATGCACTAATTTAAACACTTTTGAAAGTGAGAGCTAAGAAAATATTAAATAACGGATTTCCTTTTGAAATCAGGCTTTTCTGCATGTAGACAATGAGCTTCAGACCTTGTAATCTTCGTGCCAGCTTCCTTCTTAAAAAAAATCAGCCACTTTTTCTTTGGCATTGTCAGTAGGTGGATCATAGCCATTTTAAAATGTGATGTCATGGGATTGTATTCACCAGTCCAGATCAGAAATAATACACAATGCGTTTCCCAAAAGGAGCTACACATGAAAGTCACTAAAATGCCATCCTGTTGTTTGCTTTCTTAGCATGCTCAGTTTTTGCCTAGGAAATATAGCAGAAATTAATATAGAGAAAAATATTTATATAACACAAGCAGTGCAGATTGGCCCAAGAAGAACTTTTTGTTTGATCTCATGTAACAGAATGGCTACAAATCAAGGGCTGCAGACAAAAGTTCAACAGTATTATATTATATGGCTGTGAAGGTTGTCCTGATTGCTAGCCAGCGAAATAGAAGGTCAGGGAGTGTCTACACTTTTGAGCAACTCATTTTCAAGGTCTACATAATGTCCTGAGCAAGCCCATGGTGACCTGGTGCCTTTTTTTTTCCTGTGGAAATTCATGAAGGAAGTACTCTCCAAGTTTTGAGGTTCCTTTACCTGTCAGCAGGGAGAAAGAGGACAAAGTGGGTTTAAATATACTGAAGAGGAACCAGAGAGTGTCCTGATCAAACTGCAGGGATTTCTGAGATACTTGTGATGCCAGGGATGTCCCAGAGACGCAGGAATGCCTGCCCAGCGGCCCTGGCCTTCCCTGCCAGCGAAACGGGGCCAGTTCTGTGAGAGCCATCAAAAGGGTTTGGGTTACAAAGCATATTGTTTTCAATCATTTGTTCCTGAAATTATTTAAATTCTCCTCCCTTTCCTTCTTTTCCCCACATGAACTCAGCTTTGTGTACATTCTAGGGAGCTGTTTGTTGTTATGATCAGAGTTTTTGAGCTGGCACATATTTTTACAGTGATTAGCAATTGTTCTCATAAGCAGTTAGCATCCTTTCTCTGCTTCAGGAGGGAAGAGAATAATTCAGACGAAATCACAGATTTGTTTCTGATTAAACTTCCTGGTTGAGGCCATTTGATGACATCTTTTCCTTTCCATGCTCAATTAGAGTCTTAAAATCCCCTACATCTGATCCATGCATATTACCATTCCCATGACTGAATTATTAGTAGCATTAAAGTTACTCAAATATATACATTTTTAATAACAATTATTTCAAATAATAATAGTACAACAGCAAGAATAAAAATTATCTCCTTGGGCTTTTTATTGTGATTATTATTGTTATCTTCTCTCTGATTTGCTTTAACCTGTACTGTTGCCATGTGGGGTCTGCAAGTTCAGAGTCTTAGAGGTGAGGGACACTTGAAGGGCAGGGCTTATGTTTTTTTCTTATGTCTTGTAAAGTGCCTGTATAATGTTGATGAAAAAGCCAACATAAGAGCATTTGGTATTTTTTTCTCCACTATAAATTCAGCCGTAATCTAAACTGACCATAATAAGTATGCAACTTTCTCAGAGTTTTTTAAATTCATCATTGGTTGTGCTATCATTTTGTACAAGTAATTCTTGTATGTTGTACATTTTCAGCAGTGCTGGTTAGTTGTCCTGGAGTATTAAGGCTGTTAAGTATCTTGTGCCCTCAATTATATTGAGACACTTTTCTGATTTTTAGTGATAATAATTTCTATATTAACATATTGTAGTTATTGCTTGCAGTACACTGTGGCCATAAACATTCCTGCTAATCAAAATATTTCTGTGAAAATTTTCAGAATCCTAACTTAGAGATGCATACAACTGATACAAGCATCACATGGAAATTTTTAATCACTCCAACTGTGGAGGCAGCTCTTTCATTTTTCATTCTGCAAATTTTATGTATTTCAAAAATATACAGCAAATGGCAACAGCAACATTCTTCACATCTTTTATCTGAAAGTAATTACAAAACAAAACCAACTAATTAAGCCTTAGAAGATTCTACTCACCGCATACCTATTTTATGTATAATTTCAAATACTAACATGCCTGGCTCTGAAAAATCTTACAGTTTGCCATATTTTTTAAATTGTTAAAAATGTTCCATTACTGTATAGCTGGAGAAGCAAAGGAGGGGAAATTCTTTTATTAGGTATTACCAGCATATCCTTATGATTGAGCAGTGACTTATTTTGTGAGCTATTTACTTTTCAATCCCTGCTAAATGTATTGAGGCACGGCAGCATTTCAG